GGAGCGGCGGCGCCGCATCCCGCATCGCTGCCGGTGCGCAGGGGGCCGCCCGCATGGTGGACATCCTCCTCCCGCGGCCGCTCCCGGGCGCCATGGGGGAGCCCTCCAAGAGTAAGTGCGCGCAGCGCAGCGCGGGGCCGGGGCGGGCGGGTGCGGGACGCTGCGGTCGAGCCCCGCGCCAACGCTGCCGTCGGGTGGGCTGACAGCTCCGGGAAGGGCTGCGGGCTCGGCCCGGGGCAACTCCGGTGCCGCTATTCCCGTTCATGCCCAGCGCTCCCCGGCCCCTCTGGCCCCGTTTCTTACCGAATGCCTGTCCTTTCAGCTGTCCCCGCCGCTGAGCTCATTGCTTTCGGCTCTTTCAATTTCTTTCTCTGCTTCCCTCTCCTTTTTCTTTCTTTTCTTCTCTCTTTCACTGCCCGTGTTACCGTTTTTCTTTCTTTCTTTCTCTCTTTCGTGTTTCAGTTTGTCTTTTTTTGTTATTAATACTTCTCTTTCCGTTTTTGTTTATTTCTTTCTCTTTCTGTTCTTCTGGTTTTGTTTGGTTTTATTTCTTTCTGTCTCTTTGATTTCTTGTCTCTTACTGTTTTCATTTGACCGTGTTCCCGTTTTAACCATCTGGGGTTTAGCTGGTTTTGTTCCTTTCTATCATTCCGTTTTATTTTCTTTCCTTCTTTCTTTCAATTTTTCCTCAGCCTTTGTCTTATCGTTTCTGTGTTTCTGGTTTTATTTTCCTTTGCCGAAATTCTACTTTTACGTCTCTGTCTTTCTGCCTTTATTTCCCTTCATCAAGTTTCTGTCTTTTTTTAAATTATTATTATTATTTCTGGCTGTATTCATTTATCTCTTTCCGTGTTTCCATCCTTTCTGTCCACGTTCCTGTTTTTATTTCTTTTTCTTCCTATTTTGGAAAAAAAAAAAACCCAAAACAAAACAGAATAAGAAAAAAGGAAAAAGATTTAAAAAAACTCCAGTGCCCTTCCCTAATTGCTGGCGTCTGCTCTGGCACACGGCCGGCCCTGACCGTGCCCCACTCGCTCCCGGCAGGGCGGCCGGGGCTGGCCCTGTGCGCCGGCTGCGGGGGCCGAATCCAGGACCCCTTCCTGCTGCGGGTGTCGCCGGACCTGGAGTGGCACGTCGCCTGCCTCAAGTGCGCCGAGTGCGGGCAGCCTCTGGACGAGACCTGCACATGCTTCCTGCGCGACGGCAAGGCCTACTGCAAGCGGGATTACAGCAGGTGACCCCGAATGCGCCAACGCTCGTTAGGGGCGAAAAAAAAAAGAAAGGGCAAAAAACCCCAACCCGAACCCGAAAAAGCACAAAAGCCCCTTAAAACCCCCGAATTTCCCCCAACGAAAACCTGACTCTCGGCCGCTGCCCGCCCCCGCGGCGCCGCCCGGAGTCGCCCTGACGGCGCATCGCATCCCCGCAGGCTCTTCGGCATCAAGTGCGCCCAGTGCCGGGCGGCCTTCAGCAGCAGCGACCTGGTGATGCGCGCCCGCGACCACGTCTACCACCTGGAGTGCTTCCGCTGCGCCGCCTGCGGCCGCCAGCTCCTGCCCGGCGACCAGTTCTGCCTGCGGGAGCGGGACCTGCTCTGCCGCGCCGACCACGGGCCGCCCCCCGACGGCGCCGCCGCCCGAGGGCCGCGCAGCCCCGCGCTGCCTCCGGCCGCCGCCGCGCACCTCGCAGGTACCGGCTCCCCGTCGGGGCGGGCGGCGGGGCGGGGGAGGTGTCCGGGGGGCTGCAGGGGCCGGGCGGGCGGCGGCGCTGACGGTGCGCGTCCTCCCCGCCCGCCGCAGAGCCGGTGCCCGGGCGGCCGCCCGCCCCGCGGCCGCCGGCGCACAAGGCGGCGGAGAAGACCACCCGCGTGCGGACGGTGCTGAACGAGAAGCAGCTGCACACGCTGCGGACCTGCTACGCCGCCAACCCGCGCCCCGACGCCCTGATGAAGGAGCAGCTCGTGGAAATGACAGGGCTCAGTCCCCGCGTCATCCGCGTCTGGTTCCAGAACAAGCGCTGCAAGGACAAGAAAAAGTCCATCCTCATGAAGCAGCTCCAGCAGCAGCAGCACAGCGACAAGACGGTGAGCGCCCACCCGCCCCGCCGGGGAAGGGAATTGGGGGTGGGGGTCCAGGGCCGGAGAGCTCGGGCGGCAGTCGCGCTGAATCCCCGTGTGCCCGCAGAGCCTGCAGGGCCTCACCGGGACGCCGCTGGTGGCCGGCAGCCCCATCCGCCACGAGAACGCCGTGCAGGGCAGCGCCGTGGAGGTCCAGACCTACCAGCCGCCCTGGAAGGCGCTCAGCGAGTTCGCCCTGCAGAGCGACCTGGAGCAGCCCGCCGCCTTCCAGCAGCTGGTGAGCCGCGCCGGGCCGCCCGTCGGGCCGCGGGGGGCGGGCGGACCCCGGCCCGCCGGGCCCGGGCGCTGCGGGAGGGGGCCGGGGCAGGGGGCGACCGCGCCGGGCCCTCACCGCCGCTGCTCCCCCAGGTCTCCTTCTCCGAGTCCGGCTCCTTGGGCACCTCCTCCGGCAGCGACGTGACCTCGCTGTCCTCCCAGCTCCCCGACACCCCCAACAGCATGGTGCCCAGCCCGGCCGAGACGTGAGGCGGCCCGGCCGCCCGCCGCCGCGGGACCTCCGCATGCCTGCGCTCCCTGCATGAGACACCCGGCCCCGGGCCGCTCCCAGAGCGCCGGACAAACGCCTTTGTTTTTTAATTATTCTTATTTAAAAACAAACAAAAAATATGTTACTGACGGCCAAAAAAGCACCGGGATCCTCGCTGCCTTCACCAGACCGGAGAGAGAGTCCCCGCCCTGGTTATTTCGTTGTTTTGGGTTTTTTCCCTGCGGATTTCGATGTTTCTTTTTTCCCAAAGAAACGTGGATTTCCCCGCTGGAGCCCGGCACGGTGACAGGCCGCCTCGCCCACCGCTTGCGCCGGAGACGGCTATTCTTCCCTTTTTGGAAGGGAAAAGGAAAAAAGAAACTACAAACGGGGGAGAGACTCCCTCAGCGTGCGGCCGCGGAGCCGGCCCGGCCGTCCCTCCGCGCCGTCCAGCCTCATCTCACGCCGATGCCTCTCCCGGGCCGCGGCGCCCGGCCCCGCACGATCGCTGGAAAAACGGGACACGGAAACGAGACTTTTTAACGGGAAAACCAGTACTAATAATAAGTTATCAATGGACGGAGGACGGATTGTTTGCGCCTTTAACGATCAAAAGTAAGTTATTGTTATTTATTGTCAGAGTCAGCGGTTGAATAGTGGAATTAAGTATTTTGGACTTAATAAAAAAAAAAAAAAAAGAGAAAAAAGGAAAGGAAAGGACTGAAACGAAAAAAAAACCCCAAAACAAAACCAAAAAGGCGCGGAAGGGCGGCAGAGGGGCGGGCGCGGACCGGGTCGGGACGGGCACAGCCCCGGCTTTTTCCGCACGGCCTCCCCGCACCGCGTTAATCGGCTTTCAGAACCGGGGCCGCTTATTTATAGCCGTGGAGGCGGAGCGCAGGTTTCCCTTTCGGAGCAGCCCCCGGGCTCGGCCGGGTCGTGCCCGCACCTGCCGCGCTGCGGGGCCGCCTCACCTCCTCCCCGGGCGTGGCGGGGGCTTCCCCGGGTCGGCGGGGCGAGGCGAGCTGACCCCTCGAGCGTATCCATCCCCCCGTCCATACTCAGGCGGCGGCTCCTTATCTGCCTCTGGCATCACCTGGGAGCGCGGCGGGGCCGTTCCCGCTTCCTCCCCGTTACCCGGGCGGCACCGCTCCGGACCGGCTCCCAGCGGGACCGCGGGCCCGGAAAGCTCCAGCCACAGCACGCTGCACCCCCCCTACCCTTCCCCGGGCACCTGGGGAGAGCTGGGCCCTGACCGAGCCCTCCGGGCTGCAGGGGATGGGCACCGCGGCGCCGGAGCGGCTGCACCACCCCGAGGGGCTGCGGGGCGGCCGTGCGGGGACCGGGCCCCTCGGGCGAGCCGCCGTCGGGGCCGCCTCAGCCCGGGGCCGCTCGGCACCGCCGGGGTGGGCTGTGCCCCGGCCGGGCACAAGTCTGGAGGGGTCTGCCGCTGTCCCAGCCCCGCCGCGGGGCCCCCGCCATTACCTGGCTCCATCCTGGTCGCGCTGGGGCTCCTCGCGTTCTCCCGGGGCTGGGCCGCAGCATCGCCTCAGGCGGCGCGCGGCCTCCCCTCAGGCGGCGCGGGCGGGACCCGGGTGCGGGCCGGGCCGGACTGGGCCGTGCGGCCGCCGCAGGGGCGGCGCGGGGCTACCAAGACAACAGGACTGTCCCGCTGCCTGTCCCGGTCCCGCTGCCTGTGCTGGTGCCCGCGGGCCGCCCGGGATCGGGATCGGCCCCGTCCCCGCCGCAGCGCGGGGCCCGCAGCGCCTCCCGCCCCCTCCCGCGGAAGCGAATCCCGCCCGGCCCCGGTGCGCCGCTGGGTTCTGCTCCGCGGAACCTTCCCCGCTCACAGAACATCCCGAGGTTAAACCAGCGTTATTAAAGTCTTACCGAAACGTTAAAAACGCACATGGTTTTAAAAAATCCGTATTACGTGACTTATCCCAAATTACCAAAAAATTATAAGCAAACTTTCCCCCAGAGCCAAATCTAACGAATTCTTTTGATTAGATTCTGATTGACTTTTGATTAAAGAGAAAGACAGCTTAAGGGGCTTTTTCTTTCCTATCTCCGAGCCCTGTGTTGCTTATAGTAATTCAAACACATCAACATTTGTAACACAGAAGTCACACAAGACAGAATAAGTTATTTTATTACAAGATATATAGAACATATTTTCTCTATTTGCAACCTTATTTCAGCAGTTCTGCAGTGCAAGTCCCACCACATCACAGGGTAGAAAACACCCAAATCATGACATCGGATACGTGAACGAAATAAACTCAAATTATCAAAATTACAAAACAGAACTTGGAAGTATCTACAGTAGTTATGATATAAATAGTGCAAATTATATATCTACAGAGTAAGTATTTAGAGTATCAAAACCGTTTCAGAACAGCCTTTTAAAGAAGGTAGTCAGCAGGAACTGGTCAGTGTGACGATGTTAGGGATTCGAAAACCAAATACAACACTTATTTTTTCAAGAAGAACTGTCGAGCTTCTTCCCAGGACTGCCGCGGGAATCTGTTGGACAGCTCAAGATAATCTTGAGAACCGAAAAATTTTTCTGTTGAAGACAGAACATAAAATTACCAAGTTATTCCCTCTTAAGATAAGATGGCAATAAAACAAAAATAACGAACTTGCAGCCAATTTGAGATACTTTTACTCCCCTCCCCCTCCCAAAATCTTCTCAACCCATGGGGTGACACTTCTGTGGAGCTTGGGACATCGAGGGCTGGCTTTAAGAATGGGGGCAGAGGCTCTGGTGAGCAAAGGCTTCCATTTGTAAGCTTTTGGATCAGGCTCTGCTTTGCGCAGTGGAACATTATACAGCTTTACACACTTTATGTTCTTGGACCCACCAGGGACCAGCTCAGCCTTGTTCAGCTCTGGGCAGCCTCAACGGTGTTTTCTGCTCACCAGCTTTTTTTCCAGGGAGGGCTGCGGAGGAGTTGTGCTCCCTGACTCCCAGAGCTCACAGCACAAGTACAAATGCAGCTTTCACTCCTACGAGTGAACAGGACTGCACATGTGGGCACATGTCTGACAGTCCGACCCTCCACACGGCACCCAACAATGAAGTTTGTGCTTTCAGGTTGTATTCCCATCAGTGTTACTATTCCCATTTGTGTTTTGGGGATGCCATCCTTCACATTCAAGTGATAAAATGGATAAAAATAATCCTGCTTATACTATTACTGAGACAACTTTTTTGCAACTGGGGAATGTTTAGAAACCACACACTCACATGTCACCACATAGTCATCTTTCTTTAAAAGTTCATCCAGTTTGAATAGTGAAAATAAAAAGCAGTTTTCCATTTGGGTTTTAGATGTTTCTTGAGCAGATTCTCATGCAAACACAAACCTGGAAAGTTTGTGCTGCAGACACTGCACGAGGCTGCTTCAGACTGAGAGGTATAATGTTGACAGTAAAAATCTCCATAAAGTTACATTAATTTCATGTGTTATATTTTATTTTTTAAACACAAAGCTTATGTTTTAGACCTAGAACTGCTCATCTCTTGCCAAATGTTGGGCAAAATGGTGGTGGATTTTTGTTTGCTGAGGGAGAAACGATTGTCCAAGGGATGTTCTTTATTGTGAAATACAGCTAACTCAAGAACAGATGCCCATCAGCACTTGAATTTTAGATGTGTTTAGCAGGTAACAGCCATCTCAGCTGAGAATATTTCAAATTTAGCCTAAAGAGGTTAAATGCATTTTAAATAATACCTTAATAATGGAGGGAAAAAAAAATCACACCTCTTCTGCAAACCGATGAACGTCAAATAACGATTACGAGACCGCATTTTACAGATTTTTGACTCCTCAGGTGTACTGGCATTGCTGCATGGCTTCTGCAACCTAAAACTTTTGAAGGCAGCCTTTGTGACAGCTAATTAAATATGTGCAGGTACAGTATCACATTTTAAGACATGATACCACACAGCATTTAATAAAGATTAACAGTCTGAATCCCTGATACGACGAGCAGAGGACTGGAAGACAAGTCAGGATGTGAGGGAGCCTCTCTCCAAGCTGTAAAATCATGCTGCAAGTTACTGTATTTCTTTTATCGTGATGCAGACTCAAAAAATTTAAATCACAGTGAAATATAATATCTACACATTTTGTTAACCGACTGCTACTCTGTTACACTGCATTGAACGTACCCCTCTGCTGAGATAACTGATTATCCATTTGGCCTGAGCTCTGTGCAAAATCCTACGGGGGGGGAAAAAAAAAAAGCATCAGGTTTTCAGATCTTACACCCGAGAAATTAAAACAACATTTTTAAGTCTTCACAGTCACTCAAAAAGACTAATACTTTATGCAAAGTGTAAATTAACAAACTCTGGTTTGTTTGCTACATATAACAACAGAATACTGCCAGCATTTAAATTCTATAATATATATAGTAGATTTTTATTCCTTTATTTATACTTGTTTTGAAAAAAAAACGTTTTTAGTACACAACAAAGAACCCAAGGCTTTAATATCTTCTTAGGAAGTAGTTATTACTGGGATTTTTATTTACCATAGCTATGTCTCTGTAAAAGAAATGGTGTTTCAGATCTTTCCTCCTGACTCCAAATACACTCTTACAAAACTCCTGAATGATTCCAGTTTCAATGGCTGTGCTTCCCAGTGACCTGGGAGCCCGAGGTCCTGATCTCTTGGGAGTGTGTGAAGTTCCTCCCCAGTGGGGGTAACCCCAGCCCGAGCTGTGGGGCAGCCAGGATGAGCTCCCAGAGCTGTGTGTGGATTCCCTGCTGCATCCTTGGAGTCAGCAAGGACACCGACCTCGCTCGGAACACGTCGGCTGCCCCACCACAGATCCTATCTTTTGTTGGAGCATCCACCGAGCAGAACACCGAGGAAGGTATTATCTGACAAGAGATACAATTTAGCAAATCGTGGATACTCCTAAATGTTTTTTTAATTATTTCTGCACATCTAAAAGCAGAAGTAACAAAAATAAATGGGCTGATGCAAACTTCAGATGATGGAAATAAATCTGTTGGTAAGGAGGTCGTTGTAAAATCCAGCAACCCTCTGCCTTTGATTTTCGCTGCACACATTTAACACACTGTATTTAAGTGTTATATTCGTACACACCACCAAACTTTTACGCAAACGGGACTTCTTTTAGTGCTCCCTGGCACAGGAAGAATCTCATTTTCTAGTCACGGGGAAACATTTTTACAGTCTTTCCCAAACCTTCCACCGAAGCAAATGAGAGATTTGCTTGACAAACAGCAGCGAGCTGAAATAAAAGTAGAGAGGGAAGTCTCTTCTGTGTGTGCGGGATCTGAGCATTCCTTGGATCCTTCCAGAATTGCTCTCTGTGTACGCATGTGCAACATTTGGGATTAGATTTTAACACGGGTAAAAAACTGAAGTTTCAGTGAAGTCAGCAAACACACACACAACTCTTCCATATTTTAATATAACACCTTTTTTAAAAGCCTGCAAGAATAGTACATGGGCTTGACATCTGAGATATACCTCTAACTGGAAACTAATGTTGTCCTTTGTAGATATACTTACACTTTACTGTAGCTACTGGGGATTTTAATGCCATTCTAACTCTTATAGCACAGAAATGAAGCTAAAGAATCTTAATTATTCATATAGAGAAAACTCTCCTCCACTCTCATGTTTTTTGGCTGAAAAAAACCT